TCAAAAACAAGGAGTGATGTAGGCTAATGTTTCGTTTTTAGCAAACTGTTGCCCCTGGTCCCTGGGCAGGTAGGTACGTAAAATGAGACACAACAATACGAGATTGGACATTAAAAAAGCACAAAATACTAAACCGACACGGTTTTTTGTACCAGCCTGATAAAAACGTTTAATGTTGGGCATTTAAACATGGGTGTCTATGGGGACTGACTGGCTTCTGGAGCCAGCCTCAAGTGGCAAATAGAGGAACTGCAGTTTTTGCCATAGGACAGGACATGACGTCAGTGACAGCGCTTGAATTTTGCATTGGAGCCAGTTCTATTGGAGTCAATGGGGCAGGCACAGCAAATCACACTATAACCCCTTATATCTCTGTTGTTTCAACTCTGAATGAAAAATCCTTCCACCAGATTAAAAAAAAAACACACTGTGTGATGTTGACTGACTGATCATGGCTCTGTCCAGTAGCTGAATATAAGCCAACTCAAGCCCATTTGCTCCAGGACAGCTAACATTACGTCATAATCAGACAGGAATTATAACCAGATCAGTTCTTAAAGACTGTGGTTATTATTCTGGCTGAGAATTAATGAAACAGTGTGTCAGGTAAATAGGTGGCACAATGGTGCAGTGGTTAGCATTGTCACCTAACAGCAAGAGGGTTTCTGGTTGGAACCCAGGGTGAGGAGTTCATACCCAGGGTGGAGTTTCCATGTTCTGCCAATGTCAGCATGGGTTTTCTCCAGGTGCTCCGGCTTCCTCCCACAGTCCAAAGACATGCAGGTTAATTGGTGACTCTATATTGTCAGTGCCGTAGGTGTGAATGTGAGCCTGAATGGTTGTCTGTCTCCATGTGTCAGCCCTGTGATAGTCTGGCGACCTGTCCAGGGTGTACCCCACCCCTCGCCCAATGTCAGCTGGGATAGGATCCAGCCCCCCAGCGACCCTGACCCCTGACAGTGGTTACGGAAAATGAATGAATCAATGATTAAAGTTATAGTTGGTAATCCTGTTCAGAAACACTTTTTGTTATACTGGGTAAAATGGTTCTTCCACCCTGAGAGTAATCAATACATAATGTGTTCAGAAAAAGGAATGAAAAAAATCAGAGGTCTGTGGCAGGTGCAGGCCTGTAAAAACTCTGACCAATCTCTGCCATTCGGTGCGAATGGAAAGAACCAATCAGATGCCTTCATGTCTCGTATTGCCTGAGCTCCCCTCCGTCCCTCCCTCCCTCCTCCCTGCACACTCATCACATGTCACCGTTGCCGGAAATATTCAGCACTCCTCAGCAGAAATACTGAGTAAGCAGGAGTTTGCTGCACAATGGCAGAGAAAATGCAGCCAAAAGTACCACTTCGAGCGTTACTTGTAACGGCTCACCCCGCTAAACAGGCTGAAAAGAGAAAGTCAGAGGCAGAAAAGGATAAAGTGAGAGGACAAACCAGACATCAACAGCAGTCCAGCTTTTGAACAGTGGAGACAACTGAGGGAGCTGAAGGGCCCGAAAAGTGATGCAGAGGTTGCTGTCTGCTAGCTAGCTCTCCAACATTACCAACTATAGCTTTAAGTTAGATAAATACCTCCAAAACAGGACTTGACTGTATGCTACAATGCCTTATAGCTTGCTTCGGTAATTTACAGTTGTATATAGGATAATGTTAGATGACTAATGTTAGCACTGCAGCTCTCTGTCTCAAGGATTTTTGCTAACTAACATTTATGGTCCGCAATTACGCGGGGCAGTTCAACAGGTTAACATTGGCTAAACAAAGTGCAAATGCTAACTTAGTTCATTGATGAACAAAGTAACAAGTACCAGTAAGTGATGAAGATCCAAATTTAGAATAATTTTGCAAATAGCAAAGGAAACATTGAATAACGTTTGCCATGCTGAATGTTGTTAAATATTGTTGACAGTTTGACGTTTGGTTAGTTACTGATAGTCAAATGAGTGGTGTGATGGATGGTATACCTAGGTGTACGGGTGTACCCACCTCCTTTTGTGGTTCTATGCAGTGTACTAGTGACGGCCAAATGAAGCCTCATGAACCACTTTCTTTATTTTCTGACCCCACCAGATGGCGCTCTTGGTTTAAAGATAAAGGCTGAAGGACTGGCAATGAAGTGTGCTTTCAAATCTTTGTTGAACAGACGGCGCCATCTGGTGGCTTAAAAAATAAACACAGTGGTTCATGAGGCCTCCCAGGGCTACTTTCTTGAATGTGTGTCTTAAACTGATGACAGCTTGTCTTAGAGTGATGACGTTTAAAAGCGGCAGGATAATGCATGGCTATAGTCCCCTGTTATTTTTGCTGCATGTGTTTATCCACAGCAGGGCAGGTAAAAGAAGTTTACCTGTTGGAGGTGAGCTGTTTGCAAAGTTGCAGGAAGAGCCTGTTGTCTGCAGCTCTCACTTCTCACTGTGGCTGTTTCTGCTTTTATAATTCCTCTTTGCGCTATTAATAGGCTTGCTTTTATTGAAGAAAAGCAGCTAACAAGTTCCGCAAATTCAGCAGCAGCTTCACACAACTTCTTATACGGCGGACAGCGAACATGAAACAGTAAAATAAAGCAGATATCTCAAGTAAAAACAGGACGCAGGAGAGAAGCTAAACTCCAAACCACAAATCTGCAGCAACTGTGTGATGCTATCATGTCAATATGGACCTAAATCTCTGAGGAATGTTTCCAGCTCCTTGTTGAATCTATGACACCAAGAATTAAGGCAGTTCTGAAGGTAAAAGGGGTCCCACCTGGTACTAGCAAGGTGTACCTAATAAAGTGGCCGGTGAATGTATACATGCATTTAAGAGGTGTTGGCAATAACACAAACACAACTATAGCCAACATCTCACTATCACTGTTCTCACTTTTATTTTAAAAAGCTACACATCATATTCATCCACAAAATAATCTGGAAAGTCGGAAATCAGACCGGAAGTACAGCGAGGTGTTTCAGGGAGGTGACACACCGTCTCATCTGGTTTTTAGAAGTTGCACATTGCAGGTAGTTGCCTGTTTCAACTCGTCGCCAAATCTTGGTCTGAACGCGGCTTTACACGAGACGAGCACCGTCAACATCGCCTCTGGTGAAACTGAAAGAGTTGTCAGCGTTTGTTTCTCTCCGCCATTGTTACGTCACTTTCTGTGTGTGTGTGTGTGTGTGTGTGTGTGTGTGTGTGTGTGTGTGTGTGTGTGTGTGTAGGCTTGGAGCCCTGGGGTCCGTTTGATAACGCGGTTCGGGTTTACCGGAGTCACGTTTATAACTTTAAATAAACTTGTAGAGAACATTTTACTAACCTTGTCTTTGCCTTCAGCTGACAGTTGCCTCTTCCATCGCTGTGTGTCTTCCTCAAACTGAGACTTCCTCTGGACACACTCACACTCCTGCAGTGGTGTTATCAGAGGGCGTGGTAGGGCTCTGCCCTGAGTCAAGCCTGTCAGGTTGCACTGCCCCCACTCCATTCGGTGGTAGTTTCATACTTGACAACATAAACATTGTAAACGGGGGGATGGAGAGACTGGGCCCTCCAACAATGTGCTGTGTGGCGAATGGGCCCTTATGAGTGATCTCCACCTTGAAAACATGCCCGTGCTCAAAGGAGAAGCTCTCATTAATTAAAAAAGTGCCATTTGCTATATATGCCCTTCTATCAGTCAAATATTCTGTAACTATAAATCAAATATTCTATTAATAAAATATTTTATGACTATAAACCAACTATTCTATCCACCTTATCCCTAGCCCCCATGATACCTTGTGTGAACTATGTGTGCAACTTCAGACGTGGAACCGAAACCGGTGATTTCCAGTGGTAAATAACTTTTTGCATTCTTTTGTTTTTTATATGATATAAAGGAGGTGCGGTAAATCAGTAACACATTCATGGCATGAAGGGTGCCTTTATGAGTGATTGCCACCTTGAAGATAGGCCTGTGTTCAAAGAGAAACTCTCATTAAATTAAAAAAAAAAAAAATCCTATAAATCAAATATTCCATAACTATAAATCAACTATTCTATAAATCAAATATTCCATAACTACAAAACAACTATCCTTTATATCATCCTTTCTTTAAATCAAATATTCCATAAACATAAATATTCTATCAATCAAACATTCCATAACTATAAACCAATTATTCTAAAAATTAAATTTTCTATAACTATAAAACAACTATTCTATAAATCAAATATCCTATAAATCAAATATTCTATAACTATTAAAACAACTATTCTATAAATCAAATATTATATAACTGTAAATCAAATATTCTATAGCTGTAAATCAACTATTCTATAAAGCAAATACTCCATAAATATAATCAACTTTTCTATAAATCAAATATTCCATAAATCAAATATTCTATAGCTATAAATCAACTATTCTATAAATCAAACATTCCATAACTATAAATCAACTATTCTATAAATCAAATATTCCATAACTATAAATAAACTATTCTATAAATCAAATATTCTATAACTACAAAACAACTATCCTATATATCATCCTTTCTTTAAATCAAATATTCCATAACCATAAATAAACTATTCTATAAATCAAACATTCCATAACTATAAACCAATTATTCTAAAAATTAAATTTTCTATAACTATAAAACAAGTATTCTATAAATCAAATATCCTATAAATCAAATATTCCATAACTATAAATCAACTATAAATCCATCCATTACAGTTTGTAATTGCAGTAAAAAGCAACTATTTGAACAAACACAAACACAGTGGAGGACACTGAAAATGATTCATAAAAGTAATTTTGAATCTTCATTTTTGTGGTTTTGCCTCAACTGGTCAGTGTCACAATGAGGCTTAAGACCCCATTGTAAGCAGTCTGGAGTTTATAGAATTACAGCACTATGTATTTTTACAGGAAAAGAAGGCTCTCACAAAATGACAATGAAAATTTACAAATATCATGGTGTTATTTGTGTGAATGTGCAAATTCAACCGGTACAATGACACACTTTTGTCTTTAGTTTGAGTTAATTTATTATTGAAGAAATAAAACTTTTATTGAAATCTTTCGAGTAAAAAAATGTCACAATATACTGTACAGACAATCTCATGTTCGTCCTCCTTAATCTGAGTTGTCAAAGCTACAGCTTCTCTTTACGTTTACATTTTGCTCCTTCATCCAGACCCCTCAAGCTCAGAAACAAGAGGCCTCATACTCTTCATCCCTTTCAGGATTTCATAAAGTGCGTCTTTGCCTTCGGTGCCAGCTGCAGTCACAAACTTGTGAATCTCCCTCATCTGGTCTCGTGTGGTTTTTAGAGCTCTCACAGCATCATAGCTCTCATCTGAGATCAACCCTCTATCCACAAGCTCATCCAGGATGGCTTTTGTATCACACACTCTCTCGATCAGAGCTGTCCGATGGCGATCCACAAAATGCTGACCTGAGGCAGCCATGGAAGATGAAAGCAAACAAACAGTGAACACCAGAGGTTATACTAGTGATACGTTAAAACCCCTAATGAAAGAACCAAAAAAGGTTTTAGCAAGGCGTAGCAACATAGTTGAAGCCACTACGTCATCTTGTGCTTTTCAATTCTTCATTTTTCTTTCTTACCTTGTTTGTGATAAGTGCTCTGACTTTGGTAGTCTCCTGAAATAAAACACAGGTCACAAGGCTGATTAATTATTGGATATTTAGCTGTTTTAATTAGGGCTGTCAAAGTTAACGCGTGAATAACGAGTTAACACAAATTCTCTTTGACGCCACTAATTTTTCTGACGGGCAATTAACGCAGGTACATTCTGTAATTATGACCCTTGGTCCACCCCGTAGTTTGGGAAATTAGGAGGTGATGCTGCAGTAACCTTGTGGATACCAAGCAGAAACAAAACTCCGTGAGCAGAAATTGATAAAGAAAGGGTCTCTGGAACGACAAGTTCAGCTTCAAAGCTCTGCCAGACGGTTCTCCCGACAAGACCAAACTTATTTGCATTTACTGTCGATGTGAATTGAGTTACCAACAGAGTCCGGCGAGTCTCAAATATCATTTGCTGACCAAGCACACAGTTGATGCAGAGAGCCCTCCTTACCCCCCGCCAGAGGCAGACCATGCTGGACAGATTGCACCTGAGACACCCGGACAACTCTACAAGCGACAAACTTTCAACAGTGATAGCTAACTGGGTGGCCACAGCTTGCAGGCTGATTAACATTGTGGAGGACGTGGGTGTACTTGAGATAATTCGCATCGCATCTGAAGACTGCACGTATGAATTGCCTTCGAGAGCCACCACTGTAACCAAGATACACAACTTGAATGAAGACGAGAAAGCTTAGGTGGAGGAGACGTTGGGAATGACAGTTACCTCAGGGTCAAAGCATATTATTTTGCCCACAGTGGGAACTTTGGTTGCATGCTTTGACTTTGATGAAGACAAGAGAGGCGCTTCGCTGATGCATGCGCCAACGATGGGACATTTAACATGAAGTCAGCACACTGACCACTGATGGTGCACACAACATGATTGCAGCCGCCAGGCAGCTCTTGTTCCAGCATAAGCTGTGCGTCGCACATAGCATCCAACAAGCCATCAGTTTCTCTACAGAACAGTCCGTCTGACAACACATTGACAGAGTGTGCTTGTTGGGCTCGAGTTTGCCATAGTGTGCTTTCAGCATATGCTTTGAGCATGGAGTACCTTCAAGGTTATTCTGGGGTCCGTTTCACAAAGCAGGTTCAACAAACTCTGAGTCTAATTCTGAACTCTGAGTTGATCTACTCTGAGATAGGAAACTCTGAGTTTCTGGTTCCAGAACAGCTGATTTGAATCAGTTTAATCAACTCGGAGTAGTTTCACCTGGAGTTAAGCGCGTGCACCACAACTATAAAAAGCCAGCATCAATGGAGCCCCGATTCGACGAGTCACCATGGCAACGGAGACAGGGAGGGCTGCGTTTTTCACCTCACTAGAATTAGAAATCTTAATGCGCTCATACTGCGAGATTGAACACGTTTTCAAAAAGAAGTGCAACACCGCTGCAGCTGCAAAAGAGAGGGAGACGGCGTGGGAGAACATTGCTGCTCGGGTCGATGATTAAGTTTAAATGTAGTGCTTTGCAATCACAATAATGTTACAGGGGAAAACTGCTTGAATAGTAGCCTATTAATTTATTTCATTTAGGTGCAATCCCGCGGAGGAGAAGCGCACTTGGCAGCAGTTTAGGATGAAATATAAAAACATTGTTCAAACAGGTAAGACCTCAGCATAATCTCATGGGGGTACTTCATTTTGATCATGTTTTACATTGTAAAGTAAATATTAAGTGGCTGTTTGACTGTGCAGTTGTTTTATCCCCAACATAATGCTGTTTTCACACACATAAATGTCTTCTCATCTTAAGCCTATTTAAACTAACACAGACTTCTACTCAGCCAACAGAAAGAAGGCAGATGCCCGTAAAACGAGCACACTTTTCTGACCGCCCTGCATACAGTTGCCTTACTCAAGTGCTCAGACATTGTACAAAAAACTTCCATTTGCAAAGAAACACAGCGCAAAACACAATATCTGCTGGGATGTGAGAGCATGACTACGACTGGTAATGTTGCATATGTAAGGACGGATTAGGTTGTGTATGTAGATGATGGACTGTGATGTGAAACGGTACCGCTCAAAAAGATAATTGTGTGGAAATGCTTGAACATCTATGCGCGGTCTGATAACCATCTCCTGACGAATATTTAATTCTCTGCACAGTAATTCTGCACCTTCATCCACGGGATCGTTATCAAAAGGACATGCCATGTTAGTGAAAAAAGTCGCCACCAACTGTGCCTAATGGACTTCTAATATACTGACTCTGATTTTTTAAAAGACAGACGGCAGAACTAGGCTACACCAAAACTCGCCTGCTGACTGAATGAATGAGGAAATCAAATGGAGTGTGTGGCTCTGAAAGAGGGCGGAGACAGAGAGAAACTCGAGGTTCATTGAGAAAACCTTGGTCCCGACCAGGTTAGGTTCATAGAGTCTGTTACTACGCTAAGTGACCAAGAGCTTAAGTTACCTCTCCCTCTGAAACAGGCTAGAGTTACCCCTCTTTCTCTGGTTTGAGTTACCTCCCTTTTTGAAACGGAAAACTCAGAGTTTCCCTCATTTCAGGGTTAACAGACTCTGAGTTTTCACTAAACCTGCTTTGTGAAACAGACCCCAGGAGAATATTCCAGACAGTATTTGTCATTGTTTTGGTTTGTTGCAATACTAATAAACATACATTTGCATAAAGCAAGCATATTTGTCCACTCCCATGGTGATGAGAGTATTAAAAACTTCAAGAAGTATCCATTTAAGGTACATTTAAAACAGATAAAAATAAATGTGCGATTTATTTGCTATTAATCGCGATTTAGCTGTGGACAATCATGCAATTAATTGACTGTTTTAATCGATTGACAGCCCTAGTTTTAATGTATTTCTTTCTGTTGAATTCACAACACATGGCGTTTGCTTTGCCAACTGTGCATTTCAGCTAAACAGAACAAAAATGGTGCAAATCAATTGGCCTAAAAGTATTAAAAAACTACTGACCTTTATGGATGGTACAGGTCCAGAAAATGTCTTCCTTACTTTCAAGCCTGAGGGTGAAGTCGCTGTCTGCATTTCTGATAAACACCTCAAATACATTACTACTACCATGTCTGAGCTCTCGCACCTGTAGAAAACATGATAAATAGGGTTTAGGATTTTTTGCAGTCTTATTTTTATTTTCCAATGATACAGAAATATTAAAACAGGTAATGAAACAGTTGACACATACGCTGGGTTGAATCTTTGCATCCACCAAATCTGTTTTGAGAGAGAAATTGTTTCCCAACTGCATGGACTTGTCTGGGCCTGGTTTTAGGATTCTTCTGGATCTACAAGAGTTTTGCAATTTTTCCACAACCTGTTAAAAAAAAGAATCCTTAAGCTCAAAGGAGCCAACATGGAGAGCTATGATTTAAGTATAGTCATAGTTGTCGGTGAAGATTCTCAGTCATCAAGGTCATGGTATTCATAAGTGCTATATCGTAGACAACTGGACTTGGTTTCGTTCCTTGAAGACATTTCAGAGACGCAGGCTTTAAACTCTGTGTGGGTGTGAACCTTTACAGAGTCGTTGAGGTCACGTGTGAGCTCTTAGTTTCAGAGCCAGAATGTGTGCCATTAGGGTTAGATGGGACCAGGTGTGAATGGGTGTGAAGCCGCCTGGGGAGGGATCCCACAAATGCATTGTAGGTGGGTGATAAATGGTGTCGTAGGCCACCTCCTCTGTTTAACAATGGTCATTCCAGTTTGACAAAAAACCATCTATGTCGTGCAGCCAGGAATGCACAGATTTGGATATTGGTGAAACTAAACAACCGCTCGAGCCAGCTCGTCAGGTCAAGACTCAGCTGTCCATTTACATCTAAAAGAGAAGGGACACTCCTTCAAGGACAGCAATGTTCACATCTTGGCCAGAGAAGACAGATGATTTTGAAAGAGTTGTGACAGAAGCCATCTACATCAGACTGGAATGGGCCCTAGGCCTTTTTTGGGGTATTTTTACTGCCTTTACTTTTAAGCTCATATCACAGTCATTATAAAGGCTACATACACATGCTATATCTTGTTTTTTTCAGGACAATCTGGGCTAACCAGATTTGTCATCATTTCATGTTCTTCTACATGCCTGTATTTTATATTAATTTTTATATCAATGAAAAAAACAAATCTGTGTTACTAAATTCTTACATTTTTACATGTATCTCAGCATAGCAAGTTGGAAAAAGACATATTCTGCCATATCTGAAGAGGGGAGACTCTCTGGAATCTGGCAATATGAACCATGATGGCTCTATGTGAGCCTGCATTCGCAAGTAATCCATCCAAGAGTAATGTGTGTGCAGAGCTGTATGAAAGCTCTGTTATACATAATTTTAGTGTAAATTTATCTTTTTTTTTTCGCTGTGGAAACATTGGACTACTGACAAGTGCTTGGTCTTGTCGGAAAGCTACGGTTCCGCTCTTTCACGTGATTCTCGCTATGATGAACGGTCGCGGAGAAAATCCATAGAGAAGAACAGGTGTGAATTTGGACACACTATGCGTCGTTCGGGCCCATAGGGTTAAACAAAGGAGGTGACATACAACATCAAATTATCACCCGAATACACTATAGTCTTGGGATCCCTCCCCAGATGACTTCACACCTATTCCCACCTGGTCCCACCTGACCCTAAGGACTCACATGATGGCCAGGTTGGTCAACGACTCAAATGTGACCTTAACGACTCTGTAAAGATTCATACCCACACAGAGTTTAAAGCCAGCGATTCCGCACCAGTCCCTTAGAACTGGAGAAGCTTCTGGGATGTTCTGGAATGAGAGGCGAAACATCTTCATGACATACAAGCAAGTCCAGTTGCCTATGATATGGCACTTATGATATACACTTATTAGCCTGAACACTAAAACCACTGACAGGTGAGATGAATAACATTGATGATCTTGTTACAATGCAATGCTCTGCTGAAACCTTGGACCCTGGCATATATGTGGATAGTACTTGACGCACTCCACTCACCCAATCACTGTTGCAGACCAAGCAAACCACCTCATGGCAACAACACTTCCAGATGGTAGTGGTCCTCCAGCAAGACAATGCGCCATGCCACACCACAAAAACTGTTCAGGAGTAGCCCAAGGAACGTGACAAAGAGCTCAAGGCATCAACCTGGCCTCCAAATTCCACAGTTCCCAATTTGACTGAGCATCTGTGGGATGTGCCAATACCCCAGACATACCCTCCATCCACGATGGGGCCTCTATGGATTGGACATAGCTCTGACATATCAAGGTATGGACACAGGAAGTCTGGGGATGCGCCGTGGTGTCTGGCACCAGGGTCTTCACGGCAGATCCTTTGAGGATTACGAGATGACGTACCCGCATGTCCCAAGGATGCTCAAGTGGATTTGGATCTGGGGAATTTGGAGGCCAGGTCAAGGCCTTAAACTGCTCAGGAATGGCCGGAGGAACATGACTTGCATGGTTTTTGCCGCATGGCATGACACATTGTCCTTTTTTTGGGGGGGGGGGGGCTAGGACCCCAAGTGTCCCAGCAATACACTGCATCGTAACAAGATGATCAATGTTATTTACCTCACCTGTCAGTGGCTTTTTCCAGGTAATAGAGAATACAACTATGCTGTCTCCCAGATGTGAACACGTCAAACATTGCAATTGTTTGTTTAAAGTACTTATTGTGACAAATGAAATAGAAACCTGTTGTAGGGATGGATCAGGTGGCACCAGGTAAACATCCAAGGTGAGGAATTCTTTGTTTGTCTTGTACACCAACGTGTCAAAGTGAAATGGAATGCCCAGTTTCTTCAAGATCATTACACCAACTGGCGAGAAAGTTGGCTGGACTAACTTGACGTGGGACGATGTCACTTCAGACACTTGCTCCAAAACATCTCCACAGGTATCCACATGCAGAACTACAAACATGTCTGACATTGTAGAGTTTTCATCTGCAAAGAACAAACATGCACAACTTTAGTGAGAAGAAATAATATTCATATGTTTATTTATATCTACAGAAAGTCAGAAAAGGGCCTTTTACATTATATTACACCTCACCTACACAGACCCAGTGTGGCAGATGCACCTCCTCCAACTTCCCAGCTGTGACTGTGATGTCCATTAGGGGTCCTGCTGGCATGTAATCCATGCATGAAGGCCTCTCCCCGAGTTCCTCCCATGAGCAGAACTGGTATTTGAAGCTGACCTTTTCTTTACAAACCCAGCGCAGGGCAGACACGCTGCATTCAAAACGACCTGCATCAGACTGGAGGCTAAGGAGTGCAAGGGAATACAGATAGGTTTGGATTTACTACACACTGACACACTGACTGTTATTGATTATTGCAACCTGAAATGAATTTGCTGTAGCTTTTCTGAAGAAGTGTGATCCAATTTGAAATCATTTTGTGGTATTTTATTAATAGTTAGCCACGAGAAATAGTTATTTTTACTATCATTTCAGTCACTGTGTCTGTTCATGTGCCAGCAGAGATGTTACCGTAGTAACATAACAAGCGTCACCAGATGAGAGGAGCTACATTTGAAGTACCGTACGCAAACATGCAAGTCACTGAGTCCTCCGCAACAAATTCCTGCAAATGTTTCACAATAAAAGCCTGTTTAGAAAATGAAGGGAATCTCTCAACCGATGGTATAAGGGGCTTTTAATTTTCAACAGCTACAGGAAGTGTTGAGTTTGAAATGACGGTGCGATGCATTAACTTTATCAAGGCAAACGGGAGCGGATATAAAGTAAAAATATAAAAATACAGAGGGATTAATAAATAACGTCCCTTTTTTAATGTAGCCTGTTTCAAATGAAGCTGGTACCCTCTGCAGTTGTGGTGAGTCAAAGTCCCGCCACTATTTTTTAATATTATCCCTTAATATCCTCCATTATGAAGAAATAACATTCTTTGTTAGATTGATGCTAATGGCAGTACTAACCGGGTTACTTAAGAGCCTCAGCTGTTTGATGCCATCATTTTTCCCTTCATACTCTATGTGACGGATGTGACGGGAGAAGTCATGAACAACAAAAAGAAAATCAAACATGCTAGACTTTCTGTTGGAACGTCATGAGGCATCTCAGACGTGGCATCATTTGTCTATGTCTACTATGACACACTACACGTAATGAAACGATAGATTATCGTGTATGACACTCGTTGTTCACGATCCAAGCCGACACCATATGACGCTGCTTTAGCCTATAATCAGACAGATATCGTGTAGTAGACCTGAGCTCATCTGACAGGACTGATACAAAGTGGAAAAGTGTGCTGTGGTCTGACAAATTGTTTTTGAAGATCAAGGACGTCTTGTTCTTCAGGCTAAAGAAGAAAAGGACCATTCAGATTGTTACCAGCTCAAAGTTAAAAAGCCAGCATCTGTGATGGTACTGGGGTGTGTTAGTGCCCCTGGCATCATGGGCATTCTCGGAACCCATCAGATGTATTCAGCGTCTGACTTCCGGCAGACTGCGATACAGCCTCTGGGGGCAGACCCCCGATTTTTTGGCATTCCGGTTTGATTTGAGCGGAGGAGGCGAATTTCCGTTTCCGACTTCCGTTTATATATAAGTAAATATGCTGAACCATTGCGATGGATTCAGAGTTTGCAGTGACACCAATTATGTTCCACCTCGTTAGTTCACCGCACAGACCGTTTAACCTGGCAACAACTGCAGCCGGCTCAAACATGATTGATCAATATCACGCAGACTACAAACAGCCTAGCAACGGAAACCAGGGCTCTTCCGCTCTTCTTCTGGAGGCAAGATCTCCGGGGTTTGCCCACAGACTACATTCACTAAATGTAGAGTCTGTATATAGAGACTACATCATGGGTAACTTGGACATCTGTGAAGGCACCTTGAACACTGAAACGTACATACAGGTATTGGAGCAACATAAACTGCCATCTAGACTGTATCTTCTTCAGGGAGGTCCCTTCTTATTCCAGAAAGACAATGAGACAACAGGGTGGCTTCATAGAAAGAGCGCAGGTACTAGAGTGGCCTACCTGCAGTTCAGACTGGACTCCCATTGAAAATGTGAGGCCCATCATGAAGCACAAAATATGACAATGGACACCCGCACTGTTGAGCAACTGAAGTCGTATATCAAGCAAGTATGAGAAAGAATTTCACTTTCAAAACTTCTACTTCAACAGTTAGTGTCCTCAGTTCCCAAACGCTTACTGAGAGTTGTTAAAAGAAAAGGTGATGTCACACAGTGCTTAACATGCCCGTCTCAACTTTTTTGAACATGAAATACCTTGTCTTTGGACTGTGTTTAATTGAATATAGGTCAAAAAGGATTTTCACATCATCGCACTCTGTTTTGAGTTACCTTTTACACAGAAACCTTTTTGTAATTGTGGCTGTAATTATTTCCAGTCAGTCAACAATCTTTAATACATACAGCACATTTATTTTTATAGCCTCAAAGTAAAGGTGCCTCGTACAGTAATTGCCTCTGACAGAAATATCCCTCAGATGTTTAACACAAATCCTTATTTCCAAGGAAGAGGGTACCTTGAGACTGATCTTTCTGAGTTAAAATTAAAGTGAGTTAAAGGGCCAGTGTGTAAAATGGGTTGAAAACAGTGACATCAGTGGTCAAATTCTAGATTGCAGGGCTCACTCGCTGACCCCTCCCATCGGGTAAATGACGGTGGCCTCATAGGGACAAAAAGCCTTGCGCACGACTTTTTCAGGAGTAGGTCTATCTAGCGACGAGGTGAATGTTTATTTAGAAATCTAAGCCATGTTACTATATTGTAATGAATCCCTCACGAGCAGGAGACCAGAGGAACGTTCGGGAAAAGGCCCGTTTATTTGAGCACTCCAGAAACTCCGGTAACACTCCACTCCATCCCAAACTCTGACTCTTCTAGCTTAACAGACACACTTCATAACTTTACACACATACTCGTTTACCATACTAAGTGGGGACCCCCCTCCCCTCTCTGCTCAACCTCCAGCCCGCACACTGACTGACAGCGTAGCCGGTAAACAGAGCTCAGTTGTTTATTTAGCCTAGCGATATCTCCGGACTATAGTAGCTGCAATGGACGACTGTGAATGCGATTTTGAAGAGTTTCTTGTAGCGGACACAGACCCAGAGCCATACCTGTTTGAGCCGGAGCATACAGATGAGGAACTCCATGTGTTTGATGCTGAGCGGGCGAGAAGAGAGGCTGAATGCACAGAATGGGATTCGGTGCTACTGCTACCATCGCTGGGGAGATAAATCATCAGGAGGAAAAGCGCTGCAGAGAATGCATCACAAGGAGTGAAGTTGCGTCTTCTTTTCCTCGCAGATGACGGTTCGGGTTCATTTTCTCCTGTTGCGTGGTAAGTGTGGTCCATTCGCAAACTTTATAACTAAAAAAACTTTTCACTACTCTCTATCGACGAACTACGAACACTCTCTGCTGTTTCTTCCTCCTTCTTCCTTCCTTCCGCTGTCTTCGTTGGTTCATTTATACACGCGAAACGCGTTCTCTGGCTGGCTGGACTGTCCACTC